AATATTGGTTTTGCTTTGTTTCACAGAACTAATCGTTGCCTGGGTTGCGTACGTATATGTGGGGCGGAGCTATCAAAATCGGGGCAAGACCCTTTTGGGGTAGGGGTGTGTTTGTTTTGGTGATTTCAAATATCAACATTGGCTACCAGAAATCACTTACTCTGCCTTTAAATACGGGAACAGTTGGCAATCCTACTTTGCATGTTTTAAACACATAGATTATGTTCTTACTTTGGCCATGCATTAAATGCACATCATTGAAAGAGCACAGTTTGCTGCTTTAACTTTTCAGGTAATGTCCGTGGTATGATGACAACGACAGTGGTTACATATAAAAATACATTTTTTTTGTTAAAACAAAATATTGATAGGAACAATTCAGTTGTGCCCCTACTAAATTCTGCATCCTTGAATTGAAGGCATTTTTTATGAACAAATTTGGAAAAAAAAACTAATACATTTTCCAAAGTAAGTTGTGGTCTGGGATAGATCGTGTTATCTGCCTTAGGCAATGGCAGCTTGGAGCACAAGTTAAATTAATATTTCTTCACTTTAATACAAGTTATAACATGAATGTACATCAGAGGATATAAAATAAAGTACAACTTATACAAGCTTTCGGATGATGTATAAATCTAAATGTAAAAAAAATTACACTTAAGAATGGTTTTGTGGCCCAGGGTCACATATGTACTCACATGTATTGTGTATTGTGTATGTACAGAGAAGAGATGATGCCAACCCCTCAGAGGACCTCAGATGATGCCAACCCTGAAACAACATACAGAACTACCACATTTTGCTATAAGTTTGATTGCATCATATAATAATTGCTGTTAATAGTGTTCATCGTCTGTTTGATTACGTCTTTAATTGATCTTTCCGTATACTTTGTTTGGTCTTCCAAAAGAGGACGGTATCGGGATAGCGGAATCCAGCCCGGGGTCATCACATCTGGTTGCCACTCATTCGTCGGATCCGCCGGGTGCGCCGTTCTCAACCCTGCTGCCTCAGCTCACTCTAGCCCGGCCTCAGCTCACACTAAGCCGGGGCTTCCGCTCACGCTAGGCCGCTGTGTTTTTCGTTGTGAAAGCGAAACTAATGTTCTTTTTAGCAGCATCATATGACCCCTTTAACTGACAGTCACCACTGATAAGCTACCACTAAATATTGTAGAAACTTAATTTTCTGTAAAGTTGCTTTGCAATGATTTGTATCGTGACAAGCGCTGTACAAATAAACTTGAATTGAAAAAAACTTGAATTGAATGTATTGCATGAATGCATTACACAACATAACCCCCAGAATAAACAGGAATTGTCATGAAAAGTCGTCATCTACCAAAAACAAAGTTGCCCCGCAATGAAATGTAATTTTCAGTTTTACATTTCTCCACGTCATAACTGTATATCTCCACGTCATACCATTCTGTTTTGGGGATTTCAGCCTTTAGTTCTTTTTTAAATCTCCCATTTCAGTTTTATATATAGTGTGAAGGAGGGACCACAACTCATCAAAACCCCATACAGGAAAGAAATTAGAAACTATTCTGGGTAATGTATGACTATAGGCCTCCATCATCAATTTAGTGAATGCACTTCTTGTTTCTTTCCAGTTTTGCTTAGCTGAAATGTCTAAACAAGCTTGATTTCTTAGTCTGAAGTTATCTCCTAAGTCCTGGAAGCTTCTCATTTCACCCAATGATATTGCACATTGCTGTTCTACTGCCATTGTATTGAATCTTTCCTTCCTGCCTAAAAGTTCTTATCATGAGTAGTATGCATAAATATTCTTTTCCCACTTCTCACTGTTTAACAAAATAGCAAAATTCCAACGAGAGTATCATTATTGGGTCCAGCTTTGTATCCATGAATGTATCCATGAAGTTCAGTCTCCCCTATAAATGAACGAGCTTGGAAATCATATTTGAGAGCAAGTGGGGCCTCCTGATGATTCTGGGGGCCCTATGCGACTTGTGTACAGGGAGGACTGGCACTGGCAGAGTGTTTAATAAAGTTAGTGTACACAGATATATCAGCATTACCCATCATTCTGTTAGGATTATAGGACAGAATTAAACAATCTTGAGCTGATTGTGATGTGTGTCCTATAACAGCGCTCTGCACAGACAGCAGTGGAGGACAGTGAGAGGATCTTTACTGAACTCATCCTCTCCATTGAGAAACGTCACTCTGAGGTGAAGCAGCTGATCAGAGATCAGGAAAGAGCTGCAGTAAATCGAGCTGAAATGAAACTGGAGCGACTGGAGCAGGAGATTGATGAGCTGAAAAGGAGAAACGCTGAGCTGAAGCAGCTTTCAGAAACACAGGATCATGTTCATTTCCTCCAGGTAACAGAGATCTTCTCAAACACAGGACTGAGGACTTCAACAGGGTTTTCTGATTACAGGGAGTTTGTGTTTTTGTGTCTGTAGAGTTTGTCGTCTGCCTCAGTCTCTCTCTCTGGATCTACAGACGGCTACAGTGTCAGTGCTCAGCTATCTTTTGATGATGTAATGAAGTCAGTCTCTCAACTCAGAGACAAACTGCAGCAGTTCTGCAGAGAGGAAATAGAAAAGATTACTGAAACAGGTGCATTTCTAGGGATTCGTTGATTCTCATTCATTAAATATGAATTGGCTATTAATTTCCTCTTTACATGAGAATTAAACTGCAGATGTGTTTTGGTGTCTGTAGTGAAAACCGTCCAGGTCATTCACGCTCCTGAATATGAGACCAGAGAGGATTTCCTACAATGTGAGTTACTCTAAAACACACACAAACACTGACAATCATTGAGAGATATGCACAATTAAACATGATGATCTTACTAAGGGGTTGTTCCAGAATCATAGCAACTGGACACATTACAAGTCATTCTAATCGTGTTGAAGCAGTCGGTACACAGCACGACTGAACTGCCTGGTGAGCCGGTCAATCGCACGAGCCTTCACGTTAAACATAAAGTCACAGGAAGAGATTCAAGCTTTTATTATTGCTGCTAGTGTAACGGAGGCTAGCAAGGGCATAGGTTTGATTTTGACATTGGTGGGGACATGACAGTGACATACCAATAAAATAACATAAATATCATTAATAATATAATAAAATATAATAAATTAAAAAAATATATAACTGTTCGTTATATAATATCATATTGGGCCTTTTGAACCTTAGATTTTGATCATGTATTAGTGTAACCTTTGTGATTAAATTAATTAAATTAATTAAATTAATCTTTGCAAGATTAATCTTTAATGAACTGAAAAGAACACGTCACACCTCTGTTCATCAATTTGCACTGGCTACCAGTAGCTGCTCGCATTAAATTCAAGGCATTAATGTTTGCCTACAAAACCACCACTGGCTCTGCACCCATTTACCTAAATTCATTACTTCAGAGTTATGTGCCTCTAGAAGCTTGCGTTCTGCAAGTGAACGGCGTATTATTGTGCCATCCCAAAGAGGCACAAAATCACTTTCA